CAGGGCTGCCTTGGGTGCGTCCTCACCCCCCCCTGCGCGGGGTGCAAATTTTCAAGGGCCCTCCCCGCAATGCCCTTCCCCCTCCGCCGGCACACACCCAGCGAATGCGCCCAGTGGCTGGGCTGGGAGCTAGAAACACAAGAGCTGGGCACGTCCCCAGAAGAGCCTCCCAGTCGGTGGCAAAAGTAACAGTAACGTCGCGAACCGAGGGGTCCCTGTCCGCGCAGTGCGTGCCGTGACGGCCAGACCCGCCCTGCTCACCGCCCTCCCTGGGCCCGTGGGCCGGGACTCCCCTCTGACCCGCTGTGCCAACGAATCCTGCAGGAACAGCTCATGCCCATCCTGGGGAGGAGACGGGAAGGGGGTGCTGCCCTGGTCTCCGGGAGAGCGGGCACGCAGGGTGCTTCCCTCCTGGGCACCCGCTCCCGGGGCGGGGACGCACGGGGTGGTCACCTGATCTGTGGGAACCACCAGCCTAGCTGTGGACGTGGTTTCTGGGGACCCACATGAGATCTGCTTGCCAGTGACCCCAAAGCCCCCGTGCTGAGCCTGAGGGTGGGTGGGAGCAGCCGAGCGAGGGGACCCAGTTCTCTCGCTCTGACCCTCATGCACCGGATTACAAAATTCCAGTAAGACAAACGGACATACGAGGACAAGGCCTCACCGGACCCCCGAGGCGTGGACCAGCCCTGAGCGCACTGAGCGGAAAGACTCCCCTCACCCCGGCAGGCTCTGCTCCCGTGCTGTCTACAGACCCGGGCCCACGGGCGCAGAGGGCGTGTAAACTGTGTGCCCCCCGTGGCGCCAGGAGGGACGGTGGGCGCAGCGGCCACGAGGCAGCGCCTACCTGTAGATGGGGTCCTGCATCACCAGCATCTTGGTCTCGTCCCACGTCCACTCCTTCTTCTGCAACAAGAGAAACTGTACATGAATAAGCCAGCTTGTCCTCAGCCACGGACCAGCGCCCACATCGGGCCCCAGGTGCTCACGGGCCACGTGTGCTCGAGAGCCATAGCTGACGGCTCCCAAGGACACGTGAGGTCTGTCTCACCCGCCCCACAGGCCCTTCAGGAGGGTCTCTCCAGGTGCAGGGGTGACTCGCAGTCAAGACGCAGGAGAGGCAGGGGCGCACGACGCTGCTGAGTGGCCGGGGACGCAGGCCCTCCCTCCTCTCTCAAGGTGAGGGGGGAGCTGGACGCAGCTGGGAGGGACCCTGCAGCCACCGCAGAGGTGCTCATTGCGCCGTGAACGCAGGTGGCCCTGAGCTGCTGGGGAGCAGCCCAGGAGTGGGACCGGGGGGCGGGGACACCCCAGGTGCGTGTTGTGTGGGGGAGCACCCGATGTGTTGGGGAAGCACTGGCTGCCACCCCCACGCAGGGACCGAGCCGCGCCCCGCCCCAGAGGCAGTGCCATCCAGGCCGCTGGGAGGAACACTCTCCCGCGGGTGAGAGTGAGGAGGGAGGCGAGGCCTCGAGGCCAGAGCATCTGCCCTGACGCTGTCAGCACGTGGTCAGCCCCGCGGGCCCCAGAGGCCGTGCACGGGCGCCGCTCAGGCCTGTGGAGACGGCCCGCCAGGCACCCGGGCACCAGGAAGAACCACCTCGCAGCAGCTTCACTCACACACGACGCTGTCCACACCTGGCACGGACCCACACACAGAGAGGCACACACGCACACAGACGCACACGCGCACACACACGCACACACACACACACACACACGCCACTGCATCCCTGAACGCTGACTCCAGACCAACCCAGCCCCCGAGGGTTACGTGCGAGCCTTCGGCATCAGGCCCAGTTCCAGACACTGAGACTCAGCTCAGCTGAGACGCGGTCTGTCCGGAAGCTGCCCTTGGGACAGGCTTCCTTTTTGGCTTTCGGTTCATCCTCACCAGAGGGTATTTTTCCACTGGTTTTTAGAGAGAGTGGAAGGGAGGGGGGGTCAAAGAGAGAGACATCGATGTGAGAGAGACACATCGATTGTTTGGGCCGGGGATCGAGCCTGCCACCGAGGTACATGCCTTGACCGGAATCGAACCCAGGACCTTAGCCCGTGGGCTGACGCTCTATCCACTGAGCCACACCAACCAGGGCCTGAAAGGTTTGGACCCACAGGGAGCAAATGTGGAAACAAGGAGACTAAACCATTTTCTAAGAGAGACCCTCCAGAGGCCCAGACCACCTCCTCACCAGGCTGCACACCATGCTCGCCGGTCTCTGGGCTGCTCGACCCTGGCCCGCGGCCCCGCAGCCTGGCTCTCTGACCCCAACGGGGTCACTGGGTCTCATCCCAGGGCACAGGGACAGCCGACGGCCCCGCCCCTCCTGGCCTCTCATCCTATCAACACAGAGGTGGCGCGGGACGCTCAGGTCCCAGGCTGTCACATGGAGCCCAGAGGACGGAGGCTGACCCTGTGAGCGGGCTCCGCCTGTCCAGCGACCTCCGTGACGACAGGCAGGACCCGCGCTCCCCGCGCTCCTGCCGGGAGCAGACAGGCCCCAGGCTCCCCTCCCCAGCCTGGCGTCCAAGAACCGAGAACCGGATCTGGGCAGACCTGTTAGACCACCTGCTCCGGGCCAGCAGAGGTGGAGCCCCCGGAGGTACCAGGATGGAGTTTCACAGCGAGTCACAGGCCGCGCCTCCCGGCTCCGCCTTCGCCCACCTGGTGACGGTGACACCTCTGCGGGTGCTGTGTGCATCGCGGGCAGGAAAGGTGTCCCCACGTAAGAACCAGGGGGGCCTCGGTCCCACGGTGGAGGGTCACACAGTCCGACATGTAATGAGCGGTCACAAGCCCTGCATCCTGTGCGTTTCGAAGGGGTTCGTTCTTCATAAACAGTGAGTCGTGTCCTACTTCTCTCCTATTCACTTCCCAGCTCTCAGCCCGAAACTCTTCCTAGAACCCCAGGAATGTGAAGGGGTGCGAGAGAGCAAGCTTGGCTTCCTGTACGGGAGACCCTCTCAACGCCCGCTGCCCGGGCGCCCGGCCCCTCGGCGCAGGGACGGCGCGGAGGAGGGCAGCGAAGACGAGTCCTGGGGCTGACGAGACGGCCACCCTGAGCACCCCTCGGCCCCGGCCGCCCAGGCCGACGCTGCCACGGCGGGGTCGCGCTCAGGTGCCTGAGTCCCACGCGCAGGGGGCTCCGGAGGCCCGAGTGGGACTGAGCGATGGCGCCTCCAGCGTCAACGGAAAGACCCTCTCACAGCCAAGCCCCACCTGCCTTTTAGAAACACACCCCCTCCCTCGCCCACCAGCAACCCCAGCCTGTCCCAGACCCACACCATCCTCCTCCCACAGCCACACACAAAACAGCCGTGGGTGTCACCACACGAAGAAGGCCTGCTCAGGCCACACCCCTGCCCTGTGGGGCCGCCTGCCTCCCGCACGCTGAGCATGGAGGACCTCGGGGGCTACTTCAGAGGCAGCTGAAGCAGTGGCTGTGATGGGGGACACGCTGCCCCTCGCCCTCGCCGCCCCCCTTGCCCTCCCCGCCCCCCTCGTCCTCCCCGCCCCCCCGCTCCCCCCCGTCCTCCCCGTCACCCCTCGCCCTCCCCGCCAAGCTGGCCTGTCCTCACTAGGACATGATCTCTCCCAAGACCCAGGCGCAAAGGCGAAGGTGTCAGTGTGTGCTGGGGCGCGAGGATGACAGGAGAGGACGCCAGCCACCACGACACGGGCTGACCTGCCACGGGCTGACCTGCCACGGGCTGACCTGCCACGGGCTGCCTGACCCGGCTCCTCGGGGCGGTCCACCCACAGGGAAGGGAAGGTTCCATCCAGAGCAGGACCCGCAGGAAGGGGCCGGCGCCTCCCCCCCCCCCCCCCCGTCACCAGCTCCCGGGTCAAAAGTCCTACCCTTTTCTTCTTCAGAATCACTTTCACTCCGGCCACTGAAACCATAATGCTCACTTTCTTCTTCTTAATGTTCTTGGCTTTGAACTCGTACTGCAGGAGAGAAGAACAGAAATGCCGACAATCAGACTCGGACCGGACAGAGGCCCACAGACAGCCCTAGGGACACGGACACTCTGGGTGAGAACAGGGACCCTGAACGGTCACCGGCTCACTGCTCAGCCCTCAGGCAGGACCCCGGATGGACCTAATCATCCTGCCCACGTGGACACTCTCCTGGGAACCCAGAGCCGCCCCTCAGCGACTCCGCCTGCGGTTTTACTGCCGCTTCCGCCAGGCGACTCGGCCTCAGGAAGACCCGAGCGGCCCCGTCTTCCCTTGGGCGGCACACACGAAAGGCCGTGCATGCTGTGACGCTCCAGTTCCATTCCCAAGCCTCTATCTGCAGGTCGGTCTCCACGTCACCCACAGCCTGTCGGCTGAAGGCCTGGGGCGGAGAGTCTTCCGAAACCTGACCAGCGACGGTCCTGCCTCAACCCCACCCTCTGAGCCCCTCTAAGCACAGCCCAGCGCCCGCACTGCAGACGGCGCGGCCCCACTCCGTCCACAGTTCTGTCAGTGGCCTACTTCCTACGCTGTGCACACACTCACAACTGGTGGCATCACTACATTCTCCTCACTGCACCTCATTCTGAGCACTTACCCATTTTCACCTGGTCCCCACCTTGGTGTCTACCTAACACTCACCTGCCAAACTCCATAATCAGACATCTGGGCTACAGATTAAAAATAATAAAACGGGCCCCAGAGCCGAGACCTGCACTGCAGCCCACAGGCCCGCCTCCCCGGCCCTCCCAACAGCCAGCACCCAAGCTGGTCAGGGGCCTCTGGCTTGTTGCCTGTGCCTCTAAGACCGAATCATTTCTCGTTAGTGTGTCGATAGGAATGTACCAAATGCCCCACCGAGATGAAAACTTTGAAAATCTCATGAGAAGCCCAAGCCGCCCTGGGCTGTGACTCTCACTGCTGTGGCTTTACGAGCTCAGCTTAGCGCTTCCCACCCTGGCTCCAGTCTATCCCATCCACCCGTCTCCGCTGAACGGGCCAGTGCTTGGTGGTGCCATCGTCTCCTCCACATCCTTCTTCTTCCCCTTCCCTGGCAATGAAGTCCACCAGCAGACAGAAGTGCAATGCTGCGGGCACCTTGCCACCTCCCTGGTCTTAGAAGCAGGTGCCCACAAAGCAGGCCCTCGCCCATCTCGGTTTCTAGAGGGCCCTGTGGTGACCAACTCTTTGGCCTGTTTGGCCACCTCCCTGCCAGTTCCATTGTCTCTAGGACCCTTTGTAAATCAAGACCCTCACCCGTGGCTGGCAAGAGGCTGGACCCCGCCAGCTCCTCACCTGTGTACCTGAAACCTTAACTCTTTCTATAGCTTGCATTTTGACAACTTGGCCAAGTGTTTAAATACCCGCATCTTAAAAACTCAAAATGCAACTAAACGTCCTTTTCGGAACTGGAAGCAACTTGAAGGTGACTGTGCGCACGTGGGGTCTGTGGGAAGCAGGGACCCCCCGGAGAAGCACGACTGGAGGGCGCACCGAGTTCCAGGGACAGAGCTGCAGGAGTCCCCTCCTCACAGCTGGGGTGCTAGGCACGGCCTCCAAGAGGGGCCACAGGAGGCCCAAACAGCCTGGGCTCTCCAGCCGGACACAGCATCTACCCTACCTGCCTGGAGGCCAGGTGTCACCAGCCCTCTCCAACCAGGTTGTGGTTCTGCTGCAAACCACAGACGTGGAAGGAAATCGATTTCTGAAACACCCATTGCATTCAAAACCTGTGTATTACAGCCATCACGCCTCCCTGAGGCACCGTGCTCTCTGCTCACGAGGTGAAGGGACCAGAGATGGAGTGAGAGGGAAGCAGAGCCAGGCTCTCGGGACTAGCCCGCCCTCTTCCCAGCCCTGCTGCGCGAGGGGCAGGTGTGCCCGGGAGGAAGCACCTGTGTCCTGCAGGAGAGGAACCGGGTCGGCTCGGCTTTGCTGGGGCTGAAGAACAAGCAGGCGAGGGCGCCATCCTCGGCGGCTCAGGCAGCCTCGCCCTGGAGTCTGTGCCCACAGTCTGCTCTCTCCCCAATGCTGCCAGGCCGACCTCATGCGCCCGCTTGGCCAGGCCGAGCCCCACAGCAAGGACAGATAGAGCCTGCAGGGCTCAACCCGTGGGGACAACACAAGCAAGTCCTGGAACAACGACCAGGAAGACCAAGGCCAAGGGCCTGGTCTGAGCAGCGCCCAGGGCTGCCCTGGAACTGCTGGGCTGCCCAGCGAGGCCGAGAGGGGACGGCTTCAGATCCAGCAGGTGCCAGGAGCGCACAACAGTGAGAACGTGGCTGGACGCCAGCGTCTCCCAGCTCCCCAGCTCCTTGTCCCCGCCTCCCGGACGCCTCCCAGCCCTGGTGTCTCCGCCCAGCCAGTGCTGGCGACACAGCCCAGTGGCAACTTCACAGGGAAAGCCAGGCCCTCACTGGCCGGGAGAGACTTTCGTGGTCACTGAGCCCCATTCACACCCCCTGCCACTGCTTCCATGGAAACCACATCGCCACACTTTCAAAGGGAGTAGCACAGGGACCCCGAGGGACAGACCTGCACAAGGCCGCTGGGCCACGCATGCTGGGGACTGGGGGCCCACAGGCTGTTTAGGGGCCTTCATTTCTTAGCAGAAAAACACAATCACACGTGCAGAATTTAAAATTACAAATAAATGGGGATACAGGCAAGCGCGGCGTTTCTTTCTGAAGCGTGACCCCTCTGCTTGGTGCAGCCGGACCGCGCTCAGGAAGATCACCTGCAGCCCAGTCCACATGCACATCCATGTTCTAACGCTTCTTAACACCCTCTGAAAGCCTCTGTCTTCATGGATTCATATGCTGAGAACTTAACATAATTGCAAGTAAATGTGAATGACTTTTGGGCATTCAGCTAAGAAGAAAAACAATCTCAGATGCCGGCAATTCCACAGGAAACGGAAGAACGAGCCGGGCCGTGCGGCTGTGGGGCGAGGGAACCATATTTTTGAAACTGGACACAGCAGGCAAAGCAGACGATGAGATAAAACGGGAACAAGACACTTTCACAGCAGCCACGGAACAGCCCCGGGAACGGCCGCGGACACTGGTGGCTCCTCGGTTCCCACCCCCAGAGCCCGTCACCTTGTCTCACGGAGACGCCCACCCAGCCCTCACGTGCTCATCGCTCACAGTCTGGCTGCAACTCCAGAAACAGCCCGGGCGCCTTTCTGGATGTGAGAGATTCTCTTCAAAGACTGAACACAGAGCGCAAGGCAGTCCCGCACACCCAGCTCAGGAAGGTGAGAGTCCATGCGTGTGTGCTCGGCCACGTGGGCACAAACCCCAGAGCCCGTCCCAGACGGTGAGACCCTCGGGCCGCCGGTTGTCCCTTCCCGCCCTGAGCCCTGGAGAGACCTAGACCACAAGGCTCACAGCGGAGGGAAGGTCCCACGGGACCACCAAACGTCACCGACACACCCACCCGCCTGGACTCTTCCTTCGTCACTGACCTGTGTCAAACCCAGCAGGCTTTGCACCCCTGGCTCAGCAGCCGTCAGAATGTCATCGCTGTCGGAATGCTGGAACATCAGCCATTGGAACGTCAGCCATCAGCCAGCCCTGCGACAGGTCGGGCAGGCACTACCGTCAGGCTCTCCACGCAGACCGCGTGGGCCTGGCCTGTGGGCAGACACGCCTCGAGCTGAGAGTGAGCCGTGGGTATCAGACATGGGGACCACTGAGGTGTCCACCTGGAGACACACCAAGGTGGGAAAGGAGCTCTGAGGGGAGCAGAGGTGGACTCAGTGGGGAGAGGACAGACCAGGCAGCACCCGATGCCTCCAGCGTCAGGGCTGCACTGAATCAACTCTCCCAGCAGCACCCGCGTCCCACACGGTCGAGGAGGGGGACAGGGAGTCATTCCTGACCACAGAGCA